CTTTTCAGAAAAATGAAGCAGAATCTTCAAAAATAAAAAATAAACGCTGATAAGACGCTAAGTTTACACTGACTAGAAGATAATTATGAGTTTCAGTGGCGTCGCGATGAGGAGCAGTCTGATGAATAATATTTACAAAAAATGTACGCCACTGACTTTTCAACTTTTATATATTTCTTTTTCGATTAAGCAGCTAAAAATATAACTTTTTTTTATCTTACTTCGTTTTTGAGGAAAAAATAAAAACCACTTTTATTAAAATTAACAATAAGATCAAGTTAACTTCGATCATTAAACGTTTCTACTTGGTTCAAGCATGCCCCCTTAGAATTACGGCCTATCATTAAGTAACACTCTGTATATATAGGGTATAAATAATGCCTTCTGTTGTTTTATTGTAAAGCATTTATTTTGTTATTCTAATAAACAGTGTCCCGCTTTTTCATTACAAAGATCTGGCAATCCTGATCAGGACCGGTTTTTTTTTATGTTTGAACGCGAATGAAATTGCTTGTGAATGTTATTTTATAAACTAAATTTCAACATTATCAAGACATTAATTTTAGAATGCCCCAAAGGGCCAATATTTCGTGGTCGATCATTGCATGAGCGAAACGTGACATTCTAAGCGTAATTTCAAACAATTTATCAATGAATGGTTTCTCTATAGTATTAATTCCGAAAATGTTTTGGTATGGTATTAACCATAAAAAAATTATTTATTAAGAAGACAAATATTTGTGAAAAGTTTCACATGAAAAGTTTCACATGAAAAGTTTCACATGAAAAGTTTCACATGAAAAGTTTCACATGAAAAGTTTCACATGAAAAGTTTCACATGAAAAGTTTCACATGAAAAGTTTCACATGAAAAGTTTCACATGAAAAGTTTTACATGCAAAGTTTCACATGAAAAGTTTCACATGAAAAGTTTCACATGAAAAGTTTCACATGAAAAGATTCACATGAAAAGTTTTACATAAAAAGTTTCACATGTAAAGTTACTACTTCCTTATATCTTCTACAGTAACTTTGCACCGATCCTGTCTTATCGGTAGTGCCACCATGGTATGAAGATATGTACCTCCGAGCAATTACTAGGTACTAGAGGGAGTCTTCCCCCCTTCCCCGCGCTAAATTTTGTTAGCAACATCTACTCCCCCCGAGGGGGAAAATACCTCTTCTGTAATTGGCTTATTTAATCAGCGTTGCCAAGTTTGACAGCTCCAGTTCTGACACTTTCTGACACATGTCAATTTCTTATTTGTATTTTACGGAAAATATTATTATTTATAACGTTGTAAGGGTTGTAAATGTATATTTAAGATTTATTATCTCTAATAATATGGTGAAAACATGCTTTATGTGTAAAAGGCCTGTTGAAAATGCTTCTTCAAGATAATATCATAAGTAAGTACAGACACAACCTAATTATCAGAGTTGGTACATTAGGCAATAAGCTTTAATTTGCAATTAAACTTTCTTATTTTCTTATCGAAAAATTAAAATTAAGAGCAAGTAAACTCCAGCTAAGTTTGTCTTCATCCGTCTCATAATAATTATAGTAAAGGTTAATTACTTATTATTATTTTAAGATCACATCTTTGTAAAGTTTATTGTTATTTTTTTTAGGTTTACTTTTCTTGATATGAGAAAGAAATACACGGTTCCAAAATATAGGAATTCAACAAGTGACCACCTAAATAACTTTTTATGCTAAATGAACATTTTTATTACAGACCTCAGGGGAAGAAAATATTAAAGAAAAATTCAATTTCGACGAAAGAAGTATAATAATAAATCCTGTCACTACTTCTACACTATATTCATCTGCTACTAAAATACTAAAACAGCAAGTAAGTAGAGAAACTTAAGTTTCTTTCAAAAATAATATTTAAGGAAAAAGGCCATTTTTTTGTTGACACTTTTTTTTAACTAATCTAAAAGACTCATTTTGTGTATTGTTTAAATTTTCATTTTTTGTACTTAATTTGTTTTAGGTTTAAACAAAATGAATTTCTAAGATATGCATGGAATATCCCAAAAGAGCTAAGGAAGGTTTTAAAATTCTTAAGAAAACTATTCAGAGCCAAAAACATAAAATAGTCTTCCTTTCCAAAATATAAATAGGTATAAATATTTAGATATTATGAGTGATTTTTTATTCTATAAATAGAACATAATTTGCTTCTAAATCACTACCTAATGAACTATATTATATAGTACAAAACTAAACAAGAATATCACATTATTCATGTTTTTTTTTATTTTCTTAAAAAACGTCCCAAAAAATGTGAATATTTATTATTGGAGTTTACATCGTTATGCTAAAACAATGCTAGAACAACTTAAATAATGTGGATTTTGACTATTTTGAGTTATATTATGCAGATCATTATGATTTAAAAAAATGTTTGTCTGGTGCTATAGTCAGGTATAAAAACATTCATTTATTTAAACACAGTTGCAATATACATTTTATTTACTTTTTAAGTTAAAACCTATTAGGACATCCTAAAATGACTTTTTTCGTTTGATGTGAGATTAATTATTCTACATTTTTGTTGGTCAAATAGGTATATTAAGATGTCTTACTGTTTTCTCTGATTATCTAAAAAGTTATAACAATATACAAAGACTGTTAGAACAAAAAAGAATTATACCTTTACTTAAACACACAATTAGTCAGTTCAATTGTACGATAATTTAAAGCCGAAATCCAGAAAACTTTAAAAATGTGTTGAAATGTGTTTTTACTATAACAAGGACATAATTATTAAAAAACTTGGTACATTTACATTGACGATAGGTTTTTATAATCTATATTATACAAATCACAACGAACTACACAAAATGACATTATTAATAATTTAGCAATAAAAAAGTTAAGTACAATGATGACATTAAAAGTTGAGTTTCTCGAAATATATTTTTTAAATTGTCTCAGTACCTACCTAATATTTTTCTAGCACAATGATATTATATGAATGTGAATTGTGTGATATCTTATATTTTAGGAATAAAATGATATATTTTTTTGCAGGTTTCTGTTAACAACGATTCCAAGAACTTTTGAAAATATTATTAAAACGGCCTTTGCAAATATAATTCTCAATTAAGAGCTTTTGATCTAACATTAAATTTTTATTCTCCATAAGGTTACAGCTTCCTAAGAAGAAAGTTTAACAAGACTTACCAGACCCAAAATATGAAAATTTTGCCAACCAATTGATGATGGTTCTACTGGTTTCCATAGGAAAATTCTCCTCGAAACTACTAAAAGAAAAGTGGCAGAGGCAACCGAAGAAGGCAAAAAGTCTTTTGCAAAACAAAAACTAGAAATTTGTTTAAGAATCTAATTATTGTTTGAAGTTTTACCATTAATAATTTTTGATAACGATTTAAGATTATGAAGTTCTATTATGTATTTTACTCTTTGATAACCTATGTTTAAATTTTTATTAGGACCAAAATAAATATAATTTTCATTTCAACTACAAAAACCATCATAATATTAAAAAGGGGAAAAACGTTAGATTAGTTATGTTCAGGAATAAACTCTTTAAACATTTATCTACTTAAAATGTGTTACTTTTAGAAGGTATGTCATTAACTTTCTAGTTGTACTTGTATTAATTTATTTCATTATGTGTAGTATTTTCAAATTGATTTTGATATTCACATATATGTTTTTTTCATTGAAACAAACGTTTATTAGCTTATTAAATATAATGAATTCATGTTGTTTTATTATATGCTTGTATGAATAATTACTTTTATTTCCTTTTAAAAATGAATTTCGAAGATAAATCCGAAACGGTGAGTGAGAATAAAAAATTAGACGAAAGTGACGATATTTCATCTACACGCTCCTTTTTCTAGTCATCTACACCTGAGCCAGCAAGATTCGTCTTCCCTCCATCCTTACATTGTCCAGATTTACAGAGAAAATGCCGTCCTCTAAAACATATCCAGACCTTCTTTGACGGGGACTATACCACTACTTTACATTATCACAGCTTTATTTCTTATCCCGAGCAATTTAAATGTATTTGTAATTGCTCATTCTCTTCTCTTGTAGATTCCGTACTCAGTTTTCTTATTTTTAGTTACGTTTGCACTGCTCTTTTATTTTCACAGCTTTAATTCTATAATGCTGTAACGCTACAATATGGATCCATTTTTGTGGTTTATACTATTTAATATTATTCGTAAGTGACCAACCTATTATAATAATTAATTAAAGATTATTGTATTACAAACCAGAAGATGTTCCTGTAAGGCCGAAACTAGTCGCTCCTGTATTTATTTATAATAAAATTGATTTTAAGGTTTTATTCTTCAATTAAAAAAATTAGACCTTTACAGTGATTTTGTTTCATTTCCTGCATTAGACACATATAAGACGGTATTCATTTTAAAAATAGCAAAATTAGCAAATTTTTTAGTTTTTTTTACAATTAAAACGTTTGGACAATGTGTGTTTTTATAGATAAATGATACGCCACTGAACAAGAAGGATGTTTACCTTCCCCCTTGTGCCCGCTTCCTCACTTCCTCTATAGATGTTGCTAACACAACAATCGCCTGCAAATTCGTTTTCACGCTCCCTCTATTAGTAATTGCTCGGAGATATGTACCACGTTCAAATTCAGTTATCATGGCGCCTTGGCGCAAGTGTGTAGGGGTCAACATTTGTTTTAGATGGTATCTAGAGTTTCTAAGAGCATTAGTGTGCAGAGGATAAGTGTTCTGTGGTGTGCAGTTTATAAGCACGAAATATGTACCGGGTGTCCAAATAAGAAGAGACACTGGCATTGTCTACACCATGTATTTCAGAAACTATAACTTAGTCAAAATTGAGTAAAATTTATCGTAGATTACGATTTTCATATTTTTGTGATAATTTAATTTGGAATTTAAAAAACTTACCAACTCATCCTTGACTAAATTAAATTAATTGGAAATAAAAACGGTGTGATGTATATTCTCTTTACATACCTTAGGTGAATATTTGTAAATATCATTAACCACTTCTTGAACAATTTTCGCACTGTGATTCCAGTCTTGGGATAAACTTAAATCATTACATTGAGGGGCAGATACTAGTATAACTACCAGTTTAGAACCCTAACAATAATAAATTCAAAAGATTATAATATATAGTTAATAAATACAGACAGAGTTTCATACCAAATGACCTACATGTATACATTTAGGAACTTACAATAAGAGCTCGGCCAATCTGATGTTTTCCCCAAAATCCAGTAACTTTACAATTTGTATCAATATGGTTCAATTCTCCAGCTATTCCTTCTGTGTTTTTTATATCGTACAAACAAATTTCATCTATCAAAGGAGACTGTTTCAACATAAGAGTAACCGCTTTTCCAATTTTACCTAACCATAAAAATTTTTGGATAAGTGTATGTCTCGCAAAATATATACAGAGTGTGGCACTATATACTAGACTGAGGTGATAAGTAAAGCGAGCTAATATCCAAATTTTTAATAAATGTTTAGTTTTGACATATTACTTGTCAAATTTTATTGTAGTCTGACAGTATCGTTAAAGTGAAATTTGCAATGTGTATTCCATATTATGAAACTTTTACCTTTCTTTATAATCGTAGAAAAAACAAATACAAAACAAATATATGAGGATACGGTTAATATGGTGAAGATGCACCTTCATATTTGGTGAACCTTGCAGTGTTGAAGATGCTACTCCAGATATGGTACAAAGTCCAAGCAGAGATGATAGAAATATTAAAAGAACAACATGTACACTCTATTTTAACTAATCTGGATATGAACAAGATGGATGCCGCGATTTCTTCTTGAATGGAATAAACGGTTCCCATGTCAACATTCTCAGGCTGGATTGAATAGGTTTAACAAGAATAGGTGCTTCAGACTTTCTTGACCTATTCATGATAATGAACTAAACGTTAATGCAGTAATTATAATACTCCTGAAATGAAAGAACAGTCGAAACAATGGGTCCATCGTGATTCTCAGTCACCAAGAAAGACAAAGGTGGGTAAAATTATGGCTTCCTTGTTTTGGATATCTAAAGGCGTAGGTATTGTTAAGTGATTACCGAAGCAAGGGTGAAACTATAAATGTCAAATACTATTAGCCTAAGAGCCCACTGCAAATTTTTACCGTCATCTGATAACGAAATGAAATATACCCCAAAAGCATGGAAAAACAGTATACTTTACCAAATGGCACCTGTGCCAATCCCAATCCTGAGCAAAGTGGCTTAAAAAAATTATTTTATATTAAAAAAATCACATAAGGCATGACAGCGCTAATTTTGTTTGCCCTTAAAGTTTTCCAGAAAATAACATTCAAATAAATCTTGATATATATCGTTAAAGGGAAACATTTTCTTCCTCTTAACATCGAACATAAACATCTATCCACGATTAGTAGATAAAAATCATTAAAAATATGAATCAATGTTTGCTGATTTAAAAATTTATTTGTATGCCTATTGTTGTGATTCATTTTTACAGGTTGCCATAGAAACGACAAAAAAACTACTATGATTATGGTTTAAAATAATTGTCTAACAAGAGTTTATAATTATTATTGACTATCTCTGCAAATGGTTTATACAATGCCATCCTTCTTCCTTTCATACATAAACATGGTTTAAAAGGTAGGTAAAAATATTAGTAATTCAGGTTTAAAAGCTAGATTCACAATGAATTAGGATTGTAATTTTCAGGGAAAACACAATTGTCGCTGTCATGTCTTATGTGATTTTTTGAATATAAAATAATTTTTTTTAACCACTTCGCTCAGGATAGGGATTGGCACAGGTGTAATTTGGTAAAGTACAATGTTGTTACATGCCTTTGGAGCATATTTTATTTCGTTATCAGATGACGGTCGAAATTTGCAGTGGGCTCTCATACTATATACTAACCTACTTTCAAGGTTTATCGGAACAAAAATTCTTTATCCCTATGAAAACGCATCTGTTTATTCGAATTGGGTTGTTTCTCAAAAATAGGAAGACAATCTCATAGTCCTGTGTCACAAAATGGTCGCTCGTATTATTCTGACAGATGTAACATATGGCTAAAAGATTTTCTTCCAATTTGGCTAATATTGTACCAGTCATGGAAATATTTGTTATATCCAAAGAAAAACAGCAGAGTGAAAATTATTAGTAAAAATTTTGATTTTGCTTACTAAAGGACAACGTCATTATTTGAGTGGTTTTATTAGGATTCGTCAGTAAGAAATAAACATTCTCAATTCCAATCTCTTAAAAGTCACTTGTATACCTAGACTTTGGACGAGAAGAGTAATAAGTCAGCAAGTAGCGCCATCTCTCTTAGTAGTCTAAATCAAAGTTCGATGTAGGTACCTAGTATCTAGTTTAAAAACTAGGTGAAATAAAAGCAAAATTATTTTTCATACACATCCTATTCTGTCGACATGGTACTCTTTGAATATTATCCTCTTTCCTAATCTCCGAATGACCTAGTTAGACGGTTTCTACAGATCAGAAAGTAATATTACTGTAAATATGTATTTTGAGGGTCTTGAAGAAAATTACTCTAGAGAATGTCTTCAGAAGCTGGCATATAGATAGACCAAGATCATTGAATTAAGAGATTATATAGAGGACTTATCATCCCATGCTCGTTCGCCGAGGGGGGACAATGCCAGGGGGGTAAAGCGAGGGGGACAAAGTGAGGGGACAAAGTGCGGGGGGACAAAGCGAGTGGGACAAACCGAGAGGGACAAAGTGATTTACTTATAACAACAACAAAAAAATTTATACATTTTATAATCCACTAAAATTTTATTAAGATCGAATGTAGTCTGCAAAATATAAATAAAAAATGATTAAAAGTTTCCAAGAAAAACGTCGTATATGGTGCCCCACCCTGTATAACCTTATTATATTTTGATAACTGACTTAAAGATGCAATGCTCTTATGGAGTGTCTATAAATTGTTTATCAAACATTTCCTTTTTCCCTGAAAAGAGGTGTTTTTTTAAGAAAAATCTTTGTATTCTAACTAAATGTACTACACCAACATTTTAAAACTCTCGCAGTCAAACACTAATAGACATCATTTTATCCACAACTGGTAATATAAATCAATTTTAAACTGGCAAATGTCTGATAATATTTCGATGTCAGACCACCGGTGGTACCGGTGTGAAGTTAGTAGCCAAAAACTGGTAGCCCGTTTACCGAGTACGCCCGAACAATACAGTGGCCCGTTAAAAAGGACAATACGTACGTTTATTTCAATTTTATGTGTTAATTGAAAACTGAGGTCGTTTGTATTTTAAATGTTATTTTCCTTATATAAATAAAAAAAATAAATACATGAAAAATAATACATTCATAATGAAATTTCTTAATATTCATATTATTAAAAATAAAATATCAAAGCAGAATTGATACCACGTATAAGTTTTAATACAAATAGTTACTGGCCAAAAGCAGATTCGCTTAGAACCCTCGGAAGGGGTCGCAATCACACCCCCTTTTAAAAAAATAAATATTTGACGCACTTAAAAATGAGATATCAAGTTGGGATTAATACCAAGTATACCTTTTAATACAAGCAGTTACTGGCCAGAAGAAGAATCGCTTAGGACCCTCGGAAGGGGTAGCAATCCCACCTCCACTTCAAAAAATAAATATTTGACGCACTTAAAAATGAATTATCAAGTTGGGATTAATACCAAATATACCTTTTGATGCAAGCAGTTACTGGCCAAAAGAAGAATCGCTTAGGACCCTCGGAAGGGGTAGTAATCCCACCCCCATTTCAAAAATAAATATTTGACGCACTTAAAAATGAGATATCAAGTTGGGATTAATACCAAATATACCTTTTAATGCAAGCAGTTACTGGCCAAAAGAAGAATTGCTTAGGACCCTCGGAAGGGGTAGTAATCCCACCCCCATTTCAAAAATAAATATTTGACGCACTTAAAAATGAGATATCAAGTTGGGATTAATACCAAATATACATTTTAAGGCAAGCAGTTACTGGCCAAAAGAAGAATCGCTTAGGACCCTCGGAAGGGGTAGCAATCCCACCCCCATTTAAAAAAATAAATAGTTGACGCACTTAAAAATGAAATATCAAGTTGGGATTAATACCAAGTATACCTTTTGAAGCAAGCAGTTACTGGCAAGAAGAAGAATCGCTTAGGACCCTCGGAAGGGGTAGTAATCCCACCCCCATTTCAAAAAATAAATATTTAACGCACTTAAAAATGAGATATCAAGTTGGGATTATTACCAATTATACCTTTTAATGCAAGCAGTTACTGGCCAAAAGAAGAATCGCTTAGGACCCTCAAAAGGGGTAGCAATCCCACCCCCATTTAAAAAAAAATATTTGACGCATTTAAAAATGAGATATCAAGTTGGGATTAATACCAAGTATACCTTTGAATGCAAGTAGTAACTGGCCAAAATAAGAATCGCTTAGGACCCTCGTAAGGGGTAGCAATCCCACCCCCATTTTAAAAAATAAATATTTGACGCACTTAAAATGAGATATTAAGTTGGGATTAATACCAAGTATACCTTTTAAAGCAAGCAGTTAATGGCCAGAAGCAAAATCGCTTAGGACCCTCGGAAGGGGTAGTAATCACAACCCCTTTTCAAAAAATATAAATATTTGACGCACTTAAAAATGAGATATCAAGTTGAAATTAATACCAAGTATACCTTTTATTGCAAGCAGTTACTGGCCAAAACAAGAATCGCTTAGGACCCTCGTAAGGGGTAGCAATCCCACCCCCATTTTAAAAAATAAATATTTGACGCACTTAAAAATGAGATATCAAGTTGGGATTATTACCAATTATACCTTTTAATGCAAGCAGTTACTGGCCAAAAGAAGAATCGCTTAGGATCCTCAAAAGGGGTAGTAATCCCACCCCCATTTCAAAAAATAAATATTTGACGCACTTAAAAATGAGATATCAAGTTGTGATTATTACCAATTATATCTTTTAATGCAAGCAGTTACTGGTCAAAAGTAAAATCGCTTAGGACCCTCAGAAGCAATCCCACCCCCATTTTAAAAAATAAATATTTGACGAACTTAAAAATGAGATATCAAGTTGGGATTATTACCAAGTATACGTTTTAATACAAGCAGTTACTGGCCAAAAGCAAAATCGCTTAGGACCCTCGGAAGGGGTAGCAATCCCACCCCCATTTAAAAAAATAAATATTGGACGCACTTAAAAATGAGATATCAAGTTGGGATTAATACCAAGTATACCTTTTAATGCAAGCAGCTACTGGACAAAAGCAGAATCGCTTAGGACCTTCGGAAGGGGTAGCAATCCCACCCCTATTTCAAAAAATAAATATTTGACGCACTTAAAAATGA